AGGGCGTTTGACTTATCATAATATGTTTGCATCTGTTACTTGTGCCAAACTGCCTACTGTCAGTCTGTTACTACCAGGGAATTCTGTTATTTAATGGTACACACAAGTGAACAAAGCCCAGCGGTTTTGCACTGTCCAATGACACTTCACAAAATGCTGTGCAACAGGGGGCTTGAGAGCACAATCACAAGTGGCTCACTTGCAAGAGATACAATTCATTGTGTGACATGTTTACTTTAGACATGGGGAGTTTGTTGTGTCTTGTGGGCAACTTCTGTGTCGTGTGTGTAAGAAATATTAAATAAAACAATTTTATACCAGGCTTTAATGTTCAACCTTTTTTGGGTTTAAAATTAGTTTAATAAAACTCATTCAAATACAAAAGCTATCAGAGATATTAGCTAATTTTGCATTGAAGTTTAATTATGTTAATAATACATAAAAAAACTGAATTGAATTATGCAATTTCTACAATAAAAAAGGGGTATTAAGAAATACAAATCACAATAAAACTAAATGACTTATTTTAAAATATGAACTGTCATGCTTGCATCTAATTTATCTCAAAAGCTCATGTAATACCTTAACTACAACCCCAAATCCTTGATTAGTTAAAAAGGTTGAGCAATGAATGCAGGGCAGGAGCAGAGAGAAGAGAGAGAAGGAGGAAATTCAAACCATCTCTTCCTTCGATTATGAAGGGCAATGTATGATTACTGGAGTGAACTCCAAGTTGGATGAACTCCAAGCCCTTACAAGGACCCAGTATGAGCATCAGCATTGCAGTATTATGTGTTTCACTCAGACATGGCTGCAGAATCTCTGCAAAGACTTCCGGCCATGCAAACAGACAGAGCTTTAGAGGAGCAGCAAACCCAAAGGAGGTGGATTAGCAATGTTTGTGAACAACAGATATTGTAATCCAGTACATGTTCCTGTAAAGTATTGTTTCTGCAGTCCAGATATTGAACTGCTAGCAGTGAGTTTTCGTCCCTATTCATAAAATGAAGAACATTATGGAGAACTCTGAGCATCCTCTTCATGAGAGTGTCATACAACAACAGAGTGTCTTTAGATAGAAGCTTCTTCAGATCTAATGTAAGACAGACCACCACAGGAGATCCTTCCTCCCCACAGCCATCGGCATCTACAACAGCTCTTTGAAGAAACCTGCATAACAATTAAATTACACAACTTAAACAAATCAAGTATAGCTCCACAGTTATATGGTCCACATGCAAACGTTTGGTACCTGTGTAAAGGTAAGTCATACTAGAATATTTTTTGTGGAACCACTATTGTAACTGTTACTGTGCCTGACTGATTTGTGATTAAAGAAAAAAAATAAAAAATTTTGTGCTTTGCCAAGAATTAAAACAGGTTGTGCTTATCAACATCTTGACTATAACTGCAGCAAATTTGGACTGAATCAGCTGAAGTATATTTGTTCCACAAAGGTTTTAGTGGGCAATGTGCCAGGCGGAGCTGGGATTTCAACATATTTTAGCCAAATTTACCATAACTGTGCCAAACTGTGTTTTACATCTCATAAAACGGAATCTGGTCAAATAAAAGTGCTGATTTCTATTGTAGGACTCCTGCGTATGACAACCTTTGTTCATGACATTTACCCTGTATATAATCAAAATGTATAACTGTGAACAGCATAAAATCAATATAGTGGAAAGAAATCGGACTAAATTGTTTCCTTTTATCTCCAACTGGAGGAATTTTATTGAAAAAAAGAATTAGCAAATGAAAAATAATGTAAACAAATGTGAAAAGAAATTAGCAATAAAAACTATATAAACAAATGTGCAAAAAACAACCACCAATAAAAACTATATAAACAAATGTGCAAGAACAATAAGCAAACAAAAAGTATATAAACAAACTTGATGGCCACAGGAATTTCTTGCCAACTGAAATTATCCTTTGCACATTCAAATTGGTATTATTAATTATGGTCCAGATGGTGCTTGCACTAAAAAACAGCTTCAACAGTGTCAGCGGTCTAGGTCCTGGAGAATGTCTCCAGGTAAATGTAGGAGCTTGTGCGTCAATGTCAGGCTCACATACAACGTGCCACTTGTCCTTGTTGTCATCACCAGGTGTAGAGGTAGCCTGATTGCCTACCTCGATAGTTGTTTACCTGTTTTTGTTGGCTTGGATGAGCTGCTCCTTTTTCTTAAGACAGAAGCTACCTTGCGTTTCATGGGCCTTGAGGCACTACGTAGCTGACGGGCAGGTGGCTCATACTCCTCATCTTCTTTGTTTTCTGCACCTTCATCACTGCAGAAACAGAAGGATATATGCTGAAGACAAAATGTATCTAAATGACATGCTAAAAATTAAGTTGCATTTGACACTGACTTATAGTAAGCTTAGGAACACAATGGTAACACTGTAATGACACATTATGTTTGTTTTGTAACGATAATAGTTTGCAAAATAGAATTCTCACCTTGAAGAAGAAGATAAAGCCTTAACCGAAGTAGTGGAAGCCTGGGTCCTTTCAGTGCCAGATGGTCCTGCCTCCTCCTGGCAGTAAAAACACATATTATAAATTTATTATTAAATTAATAAATATCCTACTGTACACAAAAAATAATAAAATAACATACAAAAGCACTGATGTAATTCAGTAACAGTAAAGTGGTTTTGGTAAAGTGTCAATGATATAACAGCTATATAACAGGCCTTGAAACAGTTCCACAAACAGGCCTTGCAATCCTTTTGTTCTCATGGGGGGCTAATATAATCAATTGCAAATAAAAATACCAACACTCCACACAACAGTAGTTACAAATGTGAAAAAAGGTAAAGCATTGTTGAAATAGCTGACATTTAATGTAAAGTTGCCGGAAATAAAATGTAACACTATAACTTACTAGTTAACCGGGTCCCGAAGAAGATCCTCATCCTCATACACCTCAAAATCCACACTGTTGTCCGAAGAATCTTTTACTTCGAGGTCACTGCCCTGCAAAATTGTTTCTAAGGCTTCCAAAGTGTTTGTTTTACTCTTCTGTCCAAAACAAGTAAGCTATGTGCGTAGCAGTGCATAAAACAAGATGTGTGTAAAGCAAAAGTTACTACCACTTTTATGACCTGACATGAATTATGTGACCAGAAAATGTCATACAAAAACATGCCATACGTCCCCACAAAGGTGGGATTTTCTAGTTTCCATTGGAACCAAAAAGGACGGGGTGGGGAAACAGCATATGCTTTCTATAGCATTTTACGTGTAGACTCAGATATGCCTGAAGGATCCCTAAGCATCATCTTGTGTGTTTAAATTGCTGTAAATCTAAAAGTATTTCTGAAAAAGTAATTTAGTGAATTGCTTTGTAAACATTAAAGCCTCCACTTGCGAGGGATTTAGGAAAATCAAATTTGGTGGTGTTTGACCGACTTTTAGAGCCAACGAAAAATTGGTATCCCTCTGCTCTCCAGTTATTTTCTATACCGCTTCCTCCATAGTGGGTCGCGGGGAAGCTGGTGCCTATCTCCAGCAGTCTACAGGCGAGAGGCGGGGTACACCATGGACAGGTCACCAGTCCATTGTAGCCTTTTTTAAGTGCTAAAGAAAGATTACAACAGTATAGTCACGATCTAGAAAATCTAATGTGAATGTTAGGCTGGAACTTGTATAAACTCCCACCCTTGTTAAAGTTGAAAATTTCACATCAAAGAACAAACATCAGTTCTTCAGCATTATAGACCATCAAAAAGTGACATGTAAACATTACCAAACAATGAAACAAACAAAAAAAACAGTCACACCATAATTCTCTCCTGATTTTAAAAAATAAGCTTTGTTTCCTGGAAATAAGGTATTACTGCATTGTTTATTCTGACAGAAACGAGAAAGCTAATCAAATGCCATCCAGAGAAAATCAGAGGCCATCCTTGGCAATTCAAGATCTTCTAGCTGTGCCGAGTACTATATCCAACATAGCTCTCACACATATAAAACCATAGCTAATGCTAATTGTGCTCAGTGACACGCTATACCAATAATCTGTCTGTTGTCAGATAGATCCTATAGCTACTCTCTGAAGGCCTTGCAATTTTTCTGTTTATTTTGTATTCTTTTGTTTACTTTCCAAGATGTTTTGACAAGATGTTAAAATGTCTTACTCCACATGTAATGGACATCCTAACTCAAGGTAACTCGCTTGAAAATGGCAAACATTGCCTTGGTTGGTATTTTTAACAGTATTTTACAGTTTGTGATGCTGTGCAGAATGGTGATGGCTCAAATTGCACTTAATTGCTACTATTAACTCTATCATCTATTTTTCAACAGTAATATTAATGTTACAAAATTTTAAGATAAAGGGTCAACTGAGATTTTGTAACTACATCCACATACATGCATGGTAAAAAGAAAGTACACTCTTAAATGTGAGTTCTGATGGGTGGAACGGTTTAAACGCACAACCTATATACAGAGGCTTTAGTCCTTGGCAGAGCTGTCATGGGATCGACTCCCGGCCCAGGTGACCTTTGCTGCGTGTCTCCCTCTTTTCACTCCGTTTCTGCCATCTTACCATCTAAAAATTGAGAAAAATAAAGGCCACTAGGGCTGTAAAAAATATTTAATTTTGATACTTGTTTTACACTTTGCCCTTACTCTTATTTATTAAATAATGACCTAAGGAAATCTGTGCTTTGGTGTTTTAAACACTTGAGTTAGATTTAAATAATAAATAATACATTTTTATGTTGAAATACAGGACATGAGACAGGTGGTACTTTCTTTTTACATTAATTTAATGTACAGTATAAACAGAACAAAATATATTGCCATGTGTTTTTACTAGGTCTGTGTTGCATGTTAACATTTTATTATTAGAATGCATTTTTTATAGAATTTTACATTAAGTTCTTGTTTATGAATGCTAAAAGTGGTGGTTGTCATTTCATAATTTCATACTTTTGCGGTTTTGTTGTTTTTGTACAACCCTTTGTATGAAATGGAGTCATCTGGGGGCACTGGTGGCTCAGTTGGTAGAGCACGCACACCATGAAAGAGGCTATAGTCCTCTATGTGGTTGTCCTGTGTTTGATTCTTGGTCTCAGGCCATTTGCTACATGTCTTTCCCTTCTCTCTCCACCCTCTTTCCTGTCTGATTACTGTACAATAAAGGCCACTAGAGCCTACATGCTGCTGCATATTACGTACCAGCCACCTGTCAGTTGATACCAGCATAAGGGACATTTAATAGAGATTTTGATTACTTATTATTTAATTTCATACAATCTCTTTATAGTCTTCTGTAAGAAAAAATGGAAATAATTTGTTTAAGGGCACAAAAATGCTGAAGGTTGCATCATACAGGATGGTCACAGTTGAGTGTTAAATGGGGGTAGGAATTGGTGAAGGGGTAAACTGACCTAGAGCCTGCTGAACCCCTCCATCGGGTGTTAGAAATAAAAGTAAAACTGTAGAAGGTGTCTGGCTAAAATAGACTTTCAGATGTTTGGTGGAACAATTTTAACCATTTTTAAAAGTGTTTCTTTTCCCCATTATCTGCAGCGACTGCACATTGAAGATTTTTGCTGCTGAATTACAATACTTAACCCACACACATACAGCTACCCTTCCCGTGTGCTCTGACATGACACGCAGCCTGTGCACACAGGTCTTTGTCGGCCGTTCTTTGTGAACATGCACCTTTTCAGGGAGTCATTCTCTCCCTCTGTGGGACCACCAGTGAGTTAGAGAAGTTGCCAAGTCAGACTCTGGCACTAATTGGCTACACTATTAGACGCCCACAGAGCCACACTTTGACTACAGAAATGAGCTCATCAGTGTGAGGACAGAGATTGGGCAAAGTGCCTGCAAGAACGCATGAGACAGAGAGGAAGAGGGAGTGGGATTCCTAATTAGTGGTCTCTGCTGGACATGAGAAACCTGCAGAAGCACTACAAACCCCTCCACCCCTGCAGGACTCATACATTCACATACATGCACAATATCCCCCTCTTTGACCAGTTCTCTTAATTGGTTGGATTGTGTTGGTGTTTGTGGCAGTGGCTGGAGGAAAGAGGGCTGTCCTTTGTGTAATGCTCTTGAGAAACTGCGATTGACAGCTGGGACAGGAAGTTAGGGCGTGGGGCTTAAAGGGAAAAGGAGCTTTTCTCTCTGTGCTGCCTTTCCCAGATTAGCATGCCTCTCCACTTCTCCAAATTCCTCTTGTCCTCCTCTGTGCTTTCACTCTCGCTTTCTCCGTTCTCTGTGTCTTCCTGTCCACTTATATCCATTTACATTGAGCATCACTTAGAGCTTATTTTCAGGACATTTGCACGGGCATTTTGTCACCCCCTCCTTGCCCTTGTCATTTCCTGAGAAGAAAAAGATTATGTTACTTGGTGCACTTAAGCAGCGGAGGTACACTGCTGAACAAATGCTCGTACAACTGTGCCAATGAAATAGAGTGATTGAGTATCTACTTATGCTCTATTAGCTGACAACAGTGCCATGGAGGCCCAACAGTGCTGCATATATCCAGGAAGTTTAAAGGTTGATTGGTTTTAATACCAATGATGCCTAATTGAAAATCCCCTTTAAAAGTAACAGTTAAATTTACAAGGGGATTGAAAAATGTTGAGAACATTTTAAAGAACATGTATATTTTAGAGTCACAAAGCCTATAAATATTGTAAATATGAAAGAAATAATTATCAGCTCTTCAACAGTTTTTAAAAGCAGATAAGTAATTGTAAAAACACTTGAAATAAAAAAGAAACGTTGAGAACAGGAAGCTGTTACCACATATGAAGGATGTGTGTCAAATGAACTATTACATGGACACAGACACAGTTTTCTTGATTAAAAACAGTCAGTTTTAAAAGAAAGTATTTTGCATGAACACATGGCAGCAGTTGTTTTGAGCATAAAGTTTCAGGGAGGAAAATGCTTTCTTTTTACAATGGTTTTTACCTTTTATGCGTCCTCTGTCAGTAAAAAACAGATGCTGATGTCCAAAGATCGCATTAAATCAGTAACTGTTATTGCTAAGCTTGACCCGACTACTTAGCTTAGGGAGTGTTTTACTGCAGCTAAAGTCTCATTGTATATCAGTATTTTAAATTCTCTCCCATCCAGCAAAAAATTTGAATATTGTGAAAAATTCCAATATCTTTTGTCCATAATTTCAGAAAGTGAACTGATATATTGATTCATCATGCACAGAGTGAAACATTTCAAATGAAGTTTCTTGTGATTTTGATGATTATGGCTTACAGATAATGAAAATCCTTAAATCAGTTACTTAGAAAATTAGAATATTGTGAAAAAGTTAAATGTTGGAAACTCATCGTGTCACACTGTAATCAGCCAATTAACTCAAAACACCTGCAATGGTTTCCTGACCCATTAAATGGTCGGTAAGTCTGGGTCAGTAGGCTACACAATCGTGGGGAATACTGCTGACTTGACAGCTGTCCAGAAGACAGTCATTGATACCTTCACCGAGGAGGATGAACCTCAAAGCTCATTGCTAAAGAAGCTGCTTGTTCAACGAGTGCTGTATCCCAGCATTTTCATGTAAATTGAGTGGACAGAAAAAGTGTGGTAGGAAAAGGTGCACCAGCAACAGGAATAACCGCAGCCTGGAGAGTATTGTCAAGCAAAATGCATTCAGACTGAGGCTGGAGTCGGCACATCAAAAGCCACATTTGAATCCTGCACATGTTATATTTTTTATGTCAAGCCACTCCTGAACCTGAGACATCTTTTACCTGGACTAACAAAAAAAGAACTGGACTGTTGCTCAGTGGTCTAAAGTTGTCTTTTCAGGTGAAAGTAAACTTTGTACTTTATTTGGGAAGGGTCAGTGATGATTTGCGGTGCCATGCCATCTGCTGGTATTGGTCCACTGTGATTTCTGAAGTCCTCTGTCAACACAGCCATCTGGACATTCTAGAGCACTTCATGTTTTCCTCTGCTGACAAGCTTCATGGAGATCCTGATGCAATTTCCAGTAGGACTTAGCCACTACCCACACTGCAAAAAGTACCAATACCTGGTTTGTTCGGACTGACCTGAACCCCGTAGAGAATTTATGAAATATTTTCAAGAGAAACATGAGAGAAATCAGAGCCAGCAATGAAGACAAGCTGCAAGACATCTACCAGGACATTTTTGAGCACTTCATGCTTCTGTCTGCTGATAAGCTTTATGGCAATGCTGATTTCATTTTCCAGCAGGACTTGGCACCTGCTGACACTTCCAAAGGTACCAAAAGCTGGTCAATGACCATGGTGTTACTGTTGATTGGTCAGCAAACTGGCCTGACCTGAACCCCATAGATAATCTATGGGATATTGTCAAGAGGAAGATGAGAGAAACTAGACACAACAGTAGATGACCTGAAGACCACTATGAAAGCAAGATGGGCTTCTGACACACCTCAGGAGAACCACAGGCTGTTTGTCTCCATGCCTCACCATAACGATGCAGTAAACCAGGATTCTAGGGTTCATGGTCCAATGTTCCAGCAGGGTCCATGCATTTATCTTTAGTCAAATTGATTATTGTAACAGTGTCTTTACAGGTCTGCCTAAAAAGTCAATCAGACAGCTGCAGCTGATCAGGAACACTGCTGCCCGCATCCGCACTAAAACTTGGAAAGTAGAGCACATCACACTGGTTCCAAAGTACTTACACTGGTTCCCTGTATCTCAGAGAATAGATTTTAAAATTCTTCTGTTTATAAGTCACTGAATGGCTCAGCACCAAAATTCATTGAAGATTTGTTGTCATATCATTCTGGTTCAAATCTACTCTGCATCCCCATGTTGTGATTATGAATATGAATATATTATTTAATATTTTATATTAATACTTTAATATTTTATTAAATAATATTTCGGTCTGTGAATACCAGCCCAATAAGGCGGTGGTATTAGGACAAAATGGAAAGGGATGAGCCAAGCTCTGACATTGAACAGCAAAACTCTGTACACACACGGAATGAATTCACACAATTTCTTAAAATACAAGAATTTATTAACAAAAATAAGTCAACTCAAAGTCAAACATATTTCAATCAACAAACTCTTTACTATG